TTGGTATACAAGGAAGACTCCTGGATGGCAAGATACTTAGGGCTGAATGCTCCGGCTCTCTTGGATTAAGTGGCTTCCTGCTTCCAAAACTAATGGTAGAAGAAAATAGTGTACTGCCCATGACCAAAAGCCTGGGTCAATACTGCATCCAGTCTGTTGTTCAAGCATTTAACCAATTGAACGGAGCTGAGAGTGCCCTTATATGCACATGAGAATGGGGACCTATGAACCACATTCTGATCTGAAACCTATGAACAAATTCTTAACACTTCTACCAGCTGAAACATCACTTAATTTCCTGTATTTTTCTTAGGAGAAGGTACACTTGTCCAGGTGGACCAACAGCATGTTGAGTTACTGTTTGTCAAGGCCCCCTCTGCAGCTACACTCCAGTAAAGAGTGAAGCTCACAAAAAACTTATTTTTCATCTACATTTTTACTTCCAGAAGGTGACCATCACAACACACACCTGCCTACAGCATCAATTTGTAGCCTTCTTATTTCCTTCTGTTCAGCTACAAGTACTAACCCTACAGCTAATCCTCCCAGGGGAGAATTATACCCTATAGCAGTGTGGTAGGAGCAGTCTGATCTGGAACACACTTCTGTCACTAATGTGACGGTCAGATGGATAAGAACTGTTTCTCAGGATAAAATATCTGGGAAACAGGCTGGTGAACAGTGGGGTATGGCCCTCTGCCAGTTCACATGCTAAGACAGCTAACAGACCTTGGACTTCTGGGAAAGGGAAACAGATGTTTCAATTTGCACAGACTGTTTCTCCTTATTTTTTATCCACCACAGCTCTTAATGATGCACTCAGCTATCCAGTGCATGGGCACAGGGTCCCCAGTGAACACTTACAGCTTGTAACATGAATTTATATTAATGCATTACTTCTTTTCCAGAAAAATCAAACTAAAAATGCTTTAAGCTATAGTTCCATGATCTGGAGAAGTGTTTTCCACTGCATCTCAAAAGCACCTGCACTTAAAATAGTGATATACGTGTAGACATTGTTAAGCTGTATTGCTGATACTTGAAAAAATTATTCCATCCGTTTTGTTTGATAAACCATTTTACTGACTCAGTAAATAATCATTAATGTTAGCATGAGAATAGAAGACATTTTAATTAAAACCTAACAGCTGTCTGAAGCCAAACTCTTCACACAATAGATGCTCACACCTACTGTCAGCATGGCTCCTGCCTGAACGAATGGAAGGAAGGAGAAAGAAAAAGTAACTGCTTTACTGACAATTTGTAGCCTGTGGATTACAAGCAAAATAAACTTTATCTAGGCAACACAATGAGACTCTGGTATTTTCTCTTTGTCTTCTAAGCACATGATAACAAGGAACAATCATTTAAAAAACCCCAATCTCAAACCACAACTGCAGTGCTGTCGAATTCAGAAGCAACCACATTATCTTCTCCCTGTCATGCTGGCCTAAATTATAACTGATGGGGGAATGGGGGCGGTGGAAATGACAGACTGAAAGCTGGCATTTCCATGGCTGCTACTGTGCATGGAAAGTTTTCACCCCAACAGACTTTTCACTGCTGAGCAGGATTCTTTTTCATTGCACTATCACCACTTCTTATTTAAAATGTTTCATATTTAGGTTACACTGCAGTATGATGATTTTCTATCTAAAGAAGGACAATTTAAGGTTATGAAATTTCAGCTTCCTATTGCTATGGAGATTGTGCTATAACAAACACATTTTTAGTTTCTCTCTCCACTGTCAATTTTGTATTTTCCTATGTGAAAATTTTACAAAGATGAAGTTTTATTTCCCAACAGAATCCTTCATATATTCTGCAGCACAGAATATGTCTGCTCTTTGACAACTTTTATTTGTAGCTATGCATGTATTATTTAACTGCAGTGGAGATGGGCACTAAAAATCAGTGTATTCTAATGGACAAAACATGTCAGGAATAACAATGCTGCTTTTTTTTTTTTTTTTTTTCTTGCTAATTAGCACTTTGAGTACAGTATGCATTTTTTTAGCAAGCATTTAATAAAATATGGTCGGGTTGCTAATTTTCAGAATTTTAGAGGAAGTTCAAGCTGAGGATAAAAAATTTGGTTATAAATACAAAACTCCTCTAAGTAAAAAAGATCATGTCAAGGTTTCAACTTTACCTAATTAATTACCTCCAAAATGAATTAGGACTTCTGTAAATTCAGCAGAAAGAACCAAACATACATAACCAAGAAATTATGTACAAAGAAATTATGTATAAATACAGCAAATATTGGTCAAACTAAACACAAGAAAAGACACAGCCACAGTGTGACAGGCACATTTATCTCAGGGAGGAGGGATAAGGAATATTGCTTTATCATGTTATCCAACTATGTGTGTTTAATTAAATACGTTCTACAATGGATTTCAGCAGGGGCTGATGACTTCAGCAGACTACAGCAAAAATATTCTGTCACATATGTACTAATTTATTCCAACCTGTCATGTATAGCACACAGCTATAACTCAACTTAAATGGCCATAAAGGGAGTATACCTCAGGCCACCCAACTGTCTAGAGACAACAGATCCCCACCAGCCATCAAAATAAAACTGAAATAATAGAAACTGACATCTTGACACAGATTGCTTCTTTCTCTTTATATAATCACAATGTTACTACTGAATCAGCCAACTCCATGGCACAAATCCCACAAGGCATACAGGCACAGCTCTTTACAAGAGGAAAGAAAACTTGATTCGGTTCTCTCAAAGGTCAAGGAAGCAAGTGATCCCATTCCAAAAAGAGCAAAAGGAGTAAAATTGGGTTTTCTGTGGACTTACATTTTGCAGCTCAACTCATAAGTGGATATTGTGGTTTTTAACTAGCAGTGGATACATTAGCAATGTGTCCCTATGCAAAGCTTTTTCCACAGAAATGGAGAATCTAAATCTGAGATTTCAAGCCATTTGTCAATTTCTAGTAATTTGTCATTTTAGTCAAATCTGACAGAAAATGTCCACTGGGATAAACAGAAGGAGGAAAAGACAGACAAACAATGTAATTACCTAGAGCCTTTTTGTTTAGGAAATGAGAAAGTCGACTGAAAAGATTATTATTAGAAAGGTGTTTTAACCAAAGCTATGAGATGGTTGTATTTTCCTCCCTCTGGAATGCATGAACAGGTACAAGTTTAACCTAATCTGCTACAAAGTACTTCTAAAAAGCAAACAGAAGTCCACCAAAAACATCTCCCGTTCTTAAAATTCAAAATTAAGACTGCACACATCAGCATGGAATCTTAAAAGAAAAAATCACCATATCAATACTATGGTGATTTGAGGGAAACATTACAATTCTCACAGAATATACATGAATAGATGCCAAAAAACCGTTTGGTCTTTCACTAACTGAGCAAGTCAATGAAGAAATAATGCTAATTTCAACAGTCAGAAGCAAGCATTTGGAATTTGGAGGAAAGTGAGAAAATTAGCATTGCATAAACAAAACTTAAACGCTTCCCAAAGCCTCTTAGACAATAATATTAGAATTGTTTTACAATTGAAGAGGCAATTGAAAAGATGCTTTTATTTGAAAAAACCCAAAAACCTTCTGAAAGATTACACAGGAATTTCCTGACTTTTACTATTCCTGAGGTATTTACTAATTTCTTTCAGAGTTCTTGAATTCCAATACAAAAGAGAATCCTTCAATGGTTCTTAGCCTTCTCTGGAAGACTTGACAGATTTCCATTTCAGTTTCTTAATTTCATTATGAATCATTAATTTCTTTGTTTCTTTCTCCTTCAAAATATGCATTACAAAATGAAGAAGAAACAGACAATGAACAAAAAGTAAACAATCCTTTAAAATAATTTCCTTGATTTTTAGTTTCTCCAGCATACATTCTTATAAGCAGGTTTTCACAATGGATTTTTTCCCTAATTTAAGTATCCTGCATAAACCAATAAATACACCTCTGTTCTCCCAAGTAAACTTCAGCAAGCAAAGCCAGGAGAACAAAGGTCTTAGATCAAATAACATAGAAGTTAAAGAATTTGAATACAAAACCTCCCAGGTGCAAGAAACTACTTAAATAATTAATACAGCTAATTCACACTTTTGAAATGATATCTGCAACTACATGCTTGGAGTCTTGGAATTCCAAGCATAACAAAATGCCTCACAAATAAAAAAGTTTGGGCATGTACACCGTACTGTAACTTAGCCAAATCAGTTTCCCAATCCAGTATTTGATTTGAGGCCTTGAATGAACATTCAAAATCCTACAGCTGTGCTTACTGCTATAAAGCAGCAACTACAAAATTCTACACGCTTCTGTAACAAAGACATAATTTTAACTGTAACTTTTATACAGTCTAGAAAAAGGGAAGTGTTCTGTTTTAGTTCACCAAGGGAAATGACAACAAAGCAAGCACAAGGGTGGCTAGTATTCATAATGAGACTCATAAATAAAGGAAATTATGTGCACAGTTATTCATAAGGTACTTTTCCTCCTTTTGTTTACCATCCTGTAAAGTTCCGTTCATGAAAAAAAACAGGAAGAGAGGAAAAGGCTGAAGCAGTCAGGACCATCGCTGCTGTTGTAGCATTTGTTTTGCAAAGACTAGAAAACATTTTTAAGTAAAAAATGTCTAAACCATGTATCTTCTTGAATACATTCACTGGCTTGCACACAATGGAACAGAAAGCTATTCACTTAAGTAGTAAGCTGCTGTAGCAGCTATTCACTGCTACACTTAAGAAACTCCTCCCAAAAATTCTAGTTTCAAAACATATTTGGATTTTCAAAATTAACAGCTCATAAACAGTGCAAGATAACCATCATTCTGTGTGACAAATGGAGACAAATTTAAATTGTACTGAAATAATGCTCTCTGCATGAAATATATGGCAGAATGTTTGGTTACAGTTAATTGAGAAAACAACCAGTTACAACAAACAATTAAAGCAACCCCCAACTCTCTTTACAATTTAAATGATCCTTATATGAGAAGTGAATTACCTCCATTGAGATTCGTCTGTGTATCCGGTTTCTGAGACAAACTCCTGTGGGAGACTGAACTTCATCAGATGACGTTCCAGAAGCTTGGTCACTTTCCCCATCCGACCCCATTTTCAAATTTTCATGAACAATATCTTAAAAATAATCCAAAGAATTGAAAATAGTTAAACAGCAATGCATCAAACAGCTCTTCTGTACAGATGGAAAAGAACTGAATGATTACTGTGCATCGATTTACACAGCAGAGTCAAAGACTCACCACAGCCATGGCAGTCTTGATACATACTTTTTATGGTTCAGTAATAACCACAAAATGAACAGGATTATTTTATAGGAATTCTATGCAAACTTATGTGCAATGCAGCAGAACTCAGTTTTCCAAAACGAAAGACAGACATTCTAATCTCAACTGCAATTCCCAAAAGCCAGCTCCCCCTCCCAGCTTCAGTTCCTAAAAGCTCTCGGTACTGCTTCTCTTTTAGGTGGTCTTGGGTATACAACATTACTGAGGATAATTATCATTTTCAAAGCAGACTACCTGATTCTGGTAACCTAAATGTATCTTCAGAAAGCTTAAAAGTCCTACCAAGAGGCATAGTAGTATTTTCAGAAATGACAAAATACAGAAGCTTCAAATATAAAATCCCCTGGCACCCATGTGTTAAGTCAAAGCCATTAAATGAAATTTGTGACCTTATGGGGGAATTTACCTAATTGCTTGAGTAATGTGATACTTCACCTTCATGTCACCTGAAACTGTTGATTTTTAAACAATCCTTAAGATTCATGCACATGCAAGCTTATGTATATTATATATACATATACATAGATATATTGCTTTTAAGCACCAAAGACTTTTTCAGACTTTGGAGATAACAGTGTAGTGAACAAAAGAAAATCAAAGCAGTGTCATTATAGCATGAAGAGCCAAATGATTTGCAAGAGGACACACAGGAAATTGGTCATACAAGAAATTCACTATGAGTAAGGCTCCATCATCAACTTTGAAATACCTAAACTCCAAAATTACTCCAGAGATTAAATGCCTATACATATAAAATAAGTGCTTCAAAAGACACCAGTTTCTCTGCTGGCTCCTGATCCTTACTATTAATCATTATCTTCTACAAGGTATAAGAGAACCCGAGGAACAACTAAAAATCCCAGAACTCTATCCCTAATAAATGCTAATACTAGCAAAACACACAGAGATCAATTCAGCCTTACCACCAATACACTTGAAAATATTTAACATTTGCAAAGCATTACAGCAACTTAAAGCCCCACAAAACCAAAAGAGAAACTGCAAATTTCACCACCATCAACGACCAAGGAAATTGGATTTTTCTAGGGAAAAAAAAAGCCATTAGGGCAATGTTTCGTTATCTGCACATCTTCTAAAATATTTGTCTAGCTTGGCTCACATAGAATCATGCACACTTCAAAGGAATAAATTCTTCCTCAGTACAAACAATTTCCTTTTATGGAAAACAGAATGGATAGAAAAAGAAAGATTAATTTGTAAGCTATTAGCAACACATACTTTAACTCAAAATACTGTAATTAAACACAAACAAAGCATACATCTGACACAAAGCAAATTTTCCAGCAGTGATGCAGATTTATATTAGATTTCTATTAAAAATCCACACTGAATCAGAATTTTCCCTGCAAGTCATGCTCAGATTTGGACTAAATTAAAAAAAATAAAGAAATTAACCTGCACTCCTTATATAAAAAGCAAACTTCTGATTTCAAACAAGCTAAATACTCATCAGTGTTTCTAAAGGCATGGCAATTTCAACCACAGGAAAAAATTTCCAGAAAGCAGTTCCTAAAGATCAGCCTTAGTTTTGAAGCTAAGCAGAAAAAACGTGACTCTCTTGCTAAGTCACTAAGAAATGTCTTATTCTCTGTGGTGACTTGACAGCTATCTTTTAAAAAATTTCTAACAAACTGGGGAAAATAATTTTAGTAATATAAAAGCATTATTCAAAACACCACTTGTAGCAAAGCTGTTATGCCAGCACTGTTATATCTGGTATAATAGCACACTCACCATATTGGTTCTTTAATAAAAACTCTCTTTTTAAATACTTTTCTGAGAAGTCATGTAATCGAATTTAGCAATTACAGCTCTTGAGATTCTGTTAGTAAAATGAAGTGCAACAGCTATTGACAATTGTTCCCCACTCTATTTATCCTCATGTTAGAACAAGCCCATTGGTTTGGACCCAAAGTCTATTTTCTTTATGGCAGCTAGGCAAGGGACAGCTATCTCAGTAATCCCACAAAATAAAACCCAACAAAGTTAAAGTAGTACTGCATTTTTAGCCATGGTGCGATTACATAGTTCCTTTTTCAGAGAGACTGATATTTTAAATTAAATAATTATGGGACTGATACTGTCATATTATTCACATTTAATTCACAAAAGCATTTGTATTATGAAATTACTAGTAAAAAATGACAATTGGAAATGCAATGCTCAGAACTACACAGAGCACTCTAGTTGACAAAGATAATTCTTCTTCTAGGAAGATAACCTATGTAAAAACACGCAAATAAGCACTGTTTGAAGCACTAGTAAACAAACTATATATATGGGACAGATAATGCAGTTGTGAGGAGATTCTGTTTTATGAAGACAAATCAGGAATGTGAAGACACAGAGGGTGTGTACCATTCAAGTCTAAAAATTAAGTATTTCAGACTTATATAAGATGATGATTTGAATACCTCTGTGATATGATTAATTCTGTTAAGTCTGGATAAGCTATATACCCAGAAACAAGAGGGTTTATGTAAGATACTGGCTGGAGCAACCAAAACTGTATTATTAAGCACATGCATTTCCAACGTGCTAAATACCCAAATGCTCCTAACTATAAGGGTTTGCAGATGTTTTAATTATTTTCTAAACAGATATAATTTTAAGCTTTTTAAAAACGACTGTGTTATCATCTGATGTAAAAGCATCTTTTTATTTGATTCAATTAAAAAGGCATTAGTAGCGCCTTACGTTCATTATTTTAATGGCATAAACCCCAGACTAAGGCATTAACCCAGACATTTTAATCATTTTTACACAGGTGCACAATGATGTTTAAATAAGCAATCATGAAAACCATGCAAATATTTCACTAATTTCTCTAAGCCTTTCTAAAGACAAGTTTACCTGCATGAAAGCTTGCTTGCATAGTCTTCAGAGGTTTTAATCATTCAATAATGTATTGAAATGGTTTTGCTGCAATATCAAGCCACTCCCTTACACAGATGTTTATTTTAATGTACTCTGTATATCTTATTAAATATCCAGAATGGTCATGTAATGAAAAGCTACATGCAAATGACTACACAATAACAGGGAAACTATAGAAGTACATTTAAAGGAAAAGGCTGTCCTCATTTCAGCTGTGAGGAACACACAACAGAAGAAATTAATACTGGGAACCTATGGTGCAGCAAATGAGAACTCTTCCAAGTGAGCCATAATTGAAGTCACTAATTCGTACTAAGTCAGACTGTATGATCTTTCCACCTTATTTCAAAATATTACAAAAATAATCATGTGACTTGCATAACGGATTTCTTCCAAGGTGCACTTTTCCAAAGCTTACTTTTCTATGAAGTGGCTACATTACACAATTAATTTCAGTGATAATATACTTTGAACTGAGGAAGGCCATAGTGAGACATTGCCTTTGCCATTCTTTACTGAGGTAGGAAAGCTGAATGGAAACATCATTCATTTCAAATAATATTTATGACAATGAAACAAACTTCATAACTGTATCAACACAACCAGCAAAAGCCAGGATTAACTCTCTCCTAGCTGGTACTGCAGTTCACCATCAGGGCCAGCTTCAGTTAGCTCTGCACATTCCAGGAGCCTCCTCGGAAGTGGCATTACTATAAGCAGGGAACAAGATCAACCAGATTCATTCTGCATTCAGCCAGGTCAGGTCCAAAAAAGGTTTATTAGCTCTGGCTTCATCAAGGACTGCAGCAGCTAAATGTTTCCAGAGGTACAAGACTGCAGAAGCTGTACAGATACAAGTGAACTAAAAAAAAAATCTATCAGCTAAACCCTCACTCAGTAGTTTCACAGTCTGGTCTGAGAATCACCTCTGTTATTTAAAATCAACCTGGTAACTGAACATTAAATTTAAAAATTGCTAAGAAATTTTAAAAAAGGTACAGCACAAAAATTTTTCCCTTACACAGTATTTTACAAAATATAAAGGCAACAGAGCGTTTCCAAGCAGAAATTCTTTCTTAAGTATCTTGGGATTTTACACATTACCACAACTGCAGACACTCAAGTTTACTATTCAAAAAGCAAACCAAACTCCAAAACCCTCCTAGGCTTCTCAGTTTTTATAGTGGTAGTCTCATTCAAATAAAGGCAGCATGAAGATGCACTTGTGGCAGGTCTCAATTTAATTTGGTTTCCTTTAACAACCATCCTTTACCTGCCATGATTTTGTGGTATTTCAAGCATATCTTTCTGACACCACTTTTCTACATCCTCTAAGAAAATAGAGGAAAAACTGTAAAGAGGGTGGATGAAGAGAGCACAGGAAAGTCTCATGCAGTGTAGCATATTTGACTATTTTGTTTCTGATGTCATTATCCCAACAGGGAAAACCTCAGCTTCCTGATGAGTAATAACCATTCTCATATGGCAGGAACTAAAGAAAGAAAGATGTGAAAAAGGAGCAGAAAGAGAAATTCTGATTGCACGTACTAATACTCCTGTTTTTTACCGCTAGATAACATGCACAAGTAGCTTTTATTTAAATCAAATAAGGAGTTAAAAAAAAGACATTATTGTATCCAAAGCAAAAATAGGCGTTTAACATAGACATACAGACCAACTAGGCCCAGTGGAAGGTGTTCCTGCCTACAACAGGGAGGTTGGAACGAGATGATCTTTGAGGTCCCTTCCAACCCAAACCATTCATTCTATGATTCCATGACACACTCTGTAAGTACATCTATTCCATACTACTTATAAAAAATTACAAATTGTTGTTGAAGGCAAAACACAAGTTGGAGAGCACAGGCATCTCTGTAGTAAAAAACATTTTTGCTGCTCCTGTACTTTGTTTACATATATATAGTTTGAAAAATAATCCATAAAGACTACATATTCAAATACACAGAGATTTCTCTAACTACACAATTAATTTTTTTAAAACTCTCTCTTAGATTCTTGGCAACTTAACTAAAGCTTTGCTTGGTAAAAATGAAAAAGCAAATACTGCATACAGGACTTGAGTGAAATTAGAAAGTGATACAGCAGTCAAACTGGCACACTAAAACCCATTTTCTTGTGTGATAGCAACAGCTGCTAGAGTAAATTCAAAAAGATGTAAGTCTTTTATCAGTTGGAATGGTAATTCAAGCAGTAAAAAGACATGTTTTTGAACCTGATGAATGGTATTACACCAGAGGAGGACGGAAGTGGTTTGACTATCTCGAAGATCAGTTTATCACACTTCAAAAGGAGGGCAGGAGATTGAAAAAATAATAAAACTCTAATTAAGCTGTGACTTGCTCTCATTTTTCAATATCAATTAATTAAATGTAATTTAAAATAACATAAAAGCAGGATAAAACATTAATGGTGACTGGAGGCAGCAACATGACAAATTACGTGAAGAAGAAAAAAATATTTCATAACTTATTTGCTTCACGGAAGCACAAATATAGCTCAGGACCACAACAAAAAGATAATTATAGTTGAGTGGCCTCAATTTGAAAAGTATTTTTTTTTCTCTATAATAATGAGAATACAGAAGTTCTCTTAAAAATTCTGCATATAGCATGATTATCCTCTGTTTTTTCATATTACATTTATTGAAGTTCTTGCCAATGCTTAACTGAGATGGATACATGGGCTCCTTGCAAAGTATTAAGAAAGAATATTTTGTTACTTTAAACTTGTAAAAAAATCATGGGTGATTTCTATGTCTAAAAATCTTCTAATTGCTTTCTTCCTGAAAATCTGAAGAGACATTCAGTGCCTTAAGAACAAATTTCTCAAACTCCAGAAAAAATTACTGCATGCTCAGAGATTTATTAAAGCATTAGAGTATCTGTACCTCTTGTTATGAATCAATACCAACATTATTTTTCAAAGAAAAAATTAATTTAAGCAAACAATGTAGAAAATTACCTAATCTGCTCCCATTTCTGGGCATTGCCATGAAAGAGCCGAGGCTGCCCCCTATGACGCTGTGTGGTCTCCGTAAAGGGGGCTTCTTGAAAGATCCCGTGTACTGGTGGAGAAATGAGTGCATGCTGTGAGACGTTGGAGGCCTGCCATTCTTCACAATAGGCTCTACAGTTCACAAGGATCAAAATATTCATTGCCACAAGCAAGAAGGATTGTCAGGAACATGCCAGAAGAAAAAAAGAAAGAAAAAAAAAAGAGTTAGTAAACAGGAAATCACCAGTCTGGTAAAACTATCTTTCATGCTAACAGCATACCACCATACTACAGCCATTTCCCTATTAACAAACAAGTACAAAACACAGCATTAAGTGTTACCTAAATTTGTATTTACTAAATCCTGTAACTCTGCTGCTGGATGAGTAAATGCCCTGAATATACAGTCTTAGAACATCGATAAAACCAGAACATTGTCATTATTTTCTTCTGTCTTACTGCACAATGCTTCATCTTTATTTTTAAACAGGACAGCTGATCAACTGTGATGAGCAAATTCAGCTATAAGCCTTCAAAAATATTCTCCCTCTCAAAATTCTTGTGGGTCCCTAGTGCCAAAGCCTTGCCATTGGAGATCTTTAGAAGTAAACACACCTGTCTATACCTCCCAGAGCTGTCATGCCATAATTAAGGTTATCAGGGTATCAGAAAAATTAAGCATTCAATTTTTTATTTTGGCTTTCTTCTAGATTGTGTTTCAGATGGTTCACAGAGATTTTTTAAAAAGAAATTATTATCATCAACAAGCACTTTATAAAAGAATGAAATGTTAGAAATTTTTCCATCTTATTTACAAGTATGAGCAGAATTTGGGTGTTCATGCTCCCTCAGCAACCTGACTTTTCACACATGGACTAGCCCTCCAGGACAGACATGGTCTTAGAAGCAGGCTACCTCTGAAAAGATGAGGAGTTTTGTTTTTTTTTAACCCCCAAAAGAAGCAGAATAGATGTCCACCTGCATTGACTGTCACAAAAGTGGACTTAGCAGAACCACCAAAGAAGTCATTCATGCAAGGAAATAAAGACAAAAGAAATACTCTCACTTCAGAAAACGAGACCAGAGTCATCTAGCAGCTACATGCAAACATTCTCCCTATACAGGTTTTTATTTTTCTGTTCTGCCTAAGAACAGAAGCTATGCCTAAAGAACAGTTGAGATTCAAGTAATTTTACTTTTCCATTATTTAATTCTTATTAACATTACAGATTCATTATTTGGTATTATTACAGAAGACAGAAAAGGCAGCAGCCACACACTGAGCAAGCACAGTGTGAGTGCTACTGTATGCAGCAGCACCCACTGGAGCCACTGTTCCCAGGGTGTGCTCAGAGCTTCACTCCTGCCTCCTGGGACAGGGAGCAGTCTGGGATTCTATTCCATCACTCCACCTTATTATATACCCACATGAAGGGATCCCAAAATTTTCCTTTCCCTTCCAAGGGAGTAAGAAAAATATAGCTAGGAGTACATATTTTATGGAAAGCAGAATTTCAATGGAAATGGAAAAAGGAAAGGAACAGCAACAAACACCTAATAACCTAAGGAAAACAGGATCCTGAATGGAACACCCTACCCCGCCGCCACATATACAAAAACCTCCTAGATACATTACTATGATTAGTCTGAAGCAGAGACAGAAGTACACAGACAGAATTACCCAAGGACAAGTCAATGACCTTAAGAAATAATTATGCAAGGAATTTTTGCATATAAACATGAATAACAGAGTGAGACAAAAAACCAAAAAACATTAACTCAGCTGCTGCAGGGAAAAAAATAAAAGCCCTGGGGAAAAAAAAAACATGCTGCAGGCCGAAAACAGAAAAGACATGTCAGCACTGTTATAAACCTGCCTGCATCCTTTCATTAGCATCCTTCATAAACACAGCGTCAGAGCGGGTGAACACGAGGAAAAAATACACCATACATCTGTGTATATGTTTGTAAAGTATGACCAGGGTCCTCAAACTTCTGCATACCTCTGTCTCAAATGCTTATTTCTCTTCCAATAGTTTGCATCACCCTTTTGACTTAAGAGTGGTACCAGCTTCCTTGTTGCATGCCTTTAACAACAGATTTATCCCAGGGCAGCAGGCAGCAAATTCCTCATCAGTTTTTAACAGAATCTGTAACTACTTCCACATGACAGGGAACAGGTTCACATTCAGCACAACCACTGCTTTTGCCAAGTTAAAAAACTGCTTTTTGCTTTCCATCTTTCTTGCTAATTTGATTAAATTTCTAGCCTAAACACCTCACACTAAGTTTACATGCAGTGGTGAATAAATGAATAGTACCTTGTATGCTACGGCTTTTGTCTACTCATGCTGAAAGCAATCGACCTTCATGAACTGTTCAGTATGTAAAAGAGGCCAGAATTTATGAATACACTGAATGTCTATTGAGACTGAGTTTTATGTTCATTACTAACATGACAGTGTAATGCACAGAGATATTATGGAAAAATCTGTTTTCTGCATGATGCTGGTAAATTTGTATGTATTTATAGTTTAAAAGAAAATTCCTAAAGTATCCTAACATATGAAAAGTTCAGCTCAAATATAAGGATAAAAACAGATCACATTAATAAGTAAATTTATAAAAAAATGAAAGATAAATGACTGATTATAAGATCCAATTATACAGAAATAACTTTTGTCATCATAGGCAACTATTGCCTTCCTTCACTGTCCTAAGTACTGTACTAAATTGTAGCCCATTGGAGCTCATTATAAAATTTTGCAATGATAATTTAGGTCATGTAGTAGGACAGGCATAACTACTGGCAGACAATGAAGTGAAGGTTACAAAAACACTCACATGACACTGGATTTCTGACTAAGACAAGTATTAATACTACTCATTTATAAATGGGGGTTTAAAATCCTGATACACATTAATTTACAAAAAGGAGGGACTATATGGCATATGATGGTGTAACACATAGGCTAACATTTTGGAAAGTATATTTGTTATAAACTATTCAGTGTGCATTGCTGTCTGCTAGGAGCTTCTAAAGACATTAATTCTGTACTGTGTTACCTCCTCCCTGCAAATGCAACAGTAACAGCCAAGAGCTGGAACAAATATTGAAAATGATCAAGCAAACTCTTGCTGCAAATTAATTTACAAGACTGTTTATTGCAGTTTTCATGCATGTATGAGATACAAGAGTTAAATAAAGTGCTTTTGAAAACACTACGTAACTCTCTCTCTCTCTCACGAGTATTTCTTTTAAAGTTACAATTTCATTTAATTCACTTCATTTTTTCCAGAATTATTAATATACTCATTCATTATATTTAAAGTACAACACTGCAGTTACAAAATGCAAGTTTAGTCAACTGTCTGGCCTTGAATATAATACATCTAAACTGTAAAAGTTGTATGCCTTTACTACATATATCTATAAAAACTACTTATAATTTTATTTCTGTGATTATAGGTTTGATTTGTCTTTAAAAAATGTTTCCCCTATATAAAACTCACAAACATCACTTAGTTTAGTGTCACTGTACTTGGTAAATAAACTCAGTAATCACATGCTGCTGTTGGCTTAACATTCAGCAACAGGCAAAATGAATGATGGAAATTAAAAGGTACATAAAAAACCATTAAAAAATTCACTGTACAAGTGGATCTAATGCATTTTGAGATCATGCACAAATCTGGTCTTCCTCTCTCACCTAGATTACAACAGCAGAAGCATGATACAACCCACAGACTCAGCAGAGGGTACCTGGGGATGCGCTGCATCCACCACCTCCATCAGCACGAGAGTGAAAAAGCCAGCCATGGCAGGTTGCATACGGCACATGGAATGATTCTTCTGTGGGAACTCCACAGCACAGGATGTTAAAACTACCCAAACTTGCTTGACTCAAAGGGAGACTAAGCAAGGTCTCATGCTCAGGGTTATTAACCACACAGAGACTTGCCTAGTTCAGTGAGTCTCTGAGCTAGAAATTGATAGAGTACACTGGGGAAGTGATGCTGTACTTTGGACTCTAATCTTAGACTTGTCCTCAAATGTCATCCTCAGAGACTGAAGAACAGACAGGCAGAACTCCAGCTGTCCTTACAGCACAAGACTTCCACAGCACCTGGGCATTTCACTTGTGTTCCTTGTTGCTGGCACAACCATTCCAATAAGGGTCTTTGTCTACCATTTATCTACAGCTTCTTTCCTCACCCTACCCTGTAATCTGTACCTCCAAACTGATAAAACAAACTGGTATGGAAAACAAGCTGAAACAGGGACTTTTCAGTGGTTCCTTTAAAATTGTGTTTTGTCAATTGTTATTATATCCTCTTCTTATTTTGGCTACAACATCATGTAATCTTGGACTCATCTTTCAAGGAATGCCATTTCAACTCTTTCATTCCTTAGGCAGCCTACTAAACTATCATGCAAATCTAGCTTTTAAGTGCAAAAAAAGTTAAAAAAACATTCTCAATGAGAATATTTATTAATATTATGCTGAAGTACAGAATGACCACAGTTTTCTTTTCATTGTCGCTGAACAATTCTTGCAGTAGACACCCTTTAAAATAGTGTATCTACATACACACATTAATTTTCTATCTATAATAACACACACCACTTTTTTTAAATGCCACGTCCGTGTCATCTTGCTTAAGTGTGCACCTTCAGCAAGGTTTAAAATTAAGCAATGCATGATGACTGTGCACTTTTGTATTACTCAATGTTCAAGTTTGATGAGTGCTGAACTAACCCTTTATATAATTTGGATTATTTTCCTGTACTTCTCACATTCTGTCATTCAAACTTCTGTTACTATTGGCATAACCCAAAATAAATACAATAGTGTTCAAAGAAAACACTGTTCAAAATGCAATCAGCCTGGCTTAATAATGGTTTAAGAGTTGCTAGATCATTAAATGTCTTGGAATACACACACATATTTTAAGAAAACACTGTACCCAGTAAGGTACCATTGCTTTGCTAAATTTGGATTAATGCCAACACCAATGCTAACAAACATACAAAATCAGAAAACAACTCAAATGAACCACTGAAATAATTCAATTGTGAAGTGGCATAAATATATGTTTGAACATAAGTGGAACTAGTTTTTTCTTTTTACTTCATAATTATGAAAACTTCCAGAGTCAAGTAGAACAGCAGTGCACATAACCAAGAAACCTGTCCAAGGAATTAACTAAACCAAACAATTTCAAAAAGATGCCTTCTCTTCTTCCCTTAACTGCAATTTAAATTAACCACAAAACTTGACCTGAAATTACTTCTGATTTAAGCAATTTTTTATTTAATCCACAATGTTTCTTTTCCTCATCCATCTGTGATAACAAAGACCCACACTACCACTTTCTTTCCTGTGCTGGATTTACTTAACTGGATTTACTTAAGCTGAGCTCCAGAGAGCCTGCAGAATTGCCTGGCATTTCTTTGCAAAGCCTCAGCAACTGACATACTGTCACACGTCAGTCAGCTGGTGGATTAAAGAAATAAAGAGTTTTCATTAGGAATGTAAATGCATTTTAAAACACTTTTTATGAATATATATTATCACATACTCAACTAACTCATTTTTTTTACTGTCCCATGAGTATCTCTATTATGTGACAAAGAGACCGAGCTTTTTTTTTTAGATTTCACTGCCTAAATTTTGCAGTGGTATTTTATTTAACTGGCTTTAATAAAGACTTAAATCACCACCCATACAAGGTGACATTCTCCCTTAAATCAAATATCTCTGACAGAGCTGAGTATAACTGCAAAAAAATGTTTGATTCCACAATCACTATACATTCTGGATAGTAAACTATGTAACTACGCATTTTAAATTCATATAAATAAAGTTAAAATACACATGTGGAGTTTTATAATCAAAGTAAGAGATATTGGAGATTTAGCATTCATGATTACTGATTTAGGTGTAGAATAGGGATTGAACCCAGGCATGTTCCATATTCCAAGTAAGGATGAATTTTTCTGCCTGCCACAATTTACTGCTTCTACCAAAAGTGTGGCTCAAGGTTCCTACCCCCAGTCCCCAACAAAAAAGAACTGTAATTTTGATTTAGATTTTTGAACTATATCACTATGGGATACACAGAGCACAGCTGCTGGCAGAAGGATGGAGGGAGAACCTCACTTGACACTTCTAGCTACAACTTGACTTTTGACTGGCTCAAGTAAACAAAATCTCACTAAATGTCTCGAGAATCCACTACAGGATTTTATAGGACAGGACTCAATGTAGTTTCTTTTCCACCACCTTGACCTTACCCTTGCTCCAGAAAACTTACAAGGCTTTTTTTAAATTTGATAGAGAATGGAAAAGTGTCAAAAATCTACATTTGTGAAATTAAATATTCATTCTCTGAGAAGCTTTGCATTCATGAGGCTTGTGATGCATCATCACAACCTTTCAAAACTATTTATGTAGGATTCTCAAACACCACTGTCATACAACTTACTCATATTTCAACATCATCTACTGCACATTCATTTACCTGATCTAAATGTTAGGCTCTGCTAATGATTATTCAGTTTTTTACATATAAAACCTAATATTTTTTTTTTTGGACTTGAAATATAAAATATTTTGAATGAACTGCTGAAGAAACTGTTGTCAAGAAGCCCTTTACTTCTCCAGAAAATCTAGAATGTAAGCAGGTGAATTTCTGATACTACAGAAATTGGCATGCTGCACTGCATAATATTTAATTACACTGCTGTAAGGCAGTCAGACCCACTCAGTAAAATTAGTTGATTGCAGGTGACAGCTTCCATAGGAGATACATTTAAATAACCTAAAGCAGCAATATGCTTGCTGTATATGTACTCCCTAGGAGCTGGCTGAGGAACACTACAAAATACTGTGTATTAGATTATTAATAATAGATTATTTTATGGGCTAGTTTCCTTGGATTCTGTTATGTGATATCCAGGAAAACATTAAGTCACTCTAAAAACAGAGCAACCACTCAATACCATTTAAACCAGTGTTTTTCATTAAACAATAAGATGAAATCTTCAAACAATTGAATATTACAATTATAAATTTGGCAAAACTTCAAGGGATTACTCCCATTGCTCAAATTAATCCATTTGAGTACAGCGGTAATTCCAGAGCAAATGTTCTTCACCTGCACAACAAAAGGCAAAAAATATTGGTAGAACATTTGAAAAAATATGCTAATATAACTCTGAAGAAACACAGTTGTCAACTTCCTCCAAAGAAATTAAGTACCTCAATTATTAAAATGGCACTGTAATGTCCTATAAACCTTTTTTTTTAATTTAGGACAGAAAGGATAGAAATTTTTCTGGCTATTTGAACTACAAAAACAATGCAAAAAACCAAACTGCAAATATGAAGGCAAAGAATGAGATCAAGGCATCGAAAAAACACTATAAAAAGCCTTTCAAAGTTGACTTCATGCAGAGTGAGGTTTTGCCTTTAGTCTGGGTACCAAAACAATAAAGATCACAATCAAGAGAAATATATTAAAAATCAAACCCCTGCCTTTAAGATTTATGCATTTCATACTGCTTAGAAGATAATTCTCTGATAATATATCTGGTCATCAGAAACTGTACTGGAACATGGTAGCTCTGTACCTCAAATCATGTAAGCATAACATACCGTCAGTTTAAAACTGTAACTGCAAAAGGCATTACACTACACCACACCCTTCAGAAAAAGAGTTCAGCTACAATTTAATTCAATGCAAGTCGATACACAGCCAAGATACAAGTATCCTTGGCCTCCATCCTTGCATTTACACACACAACTCCCAGTGCAAACATCTGTGAGACCATGCTGCAAACCAAACCAGAGAACAGAGGATCTGGCTCCTTTTTGCCCAACTTTAAGAAACAGTGTTGGCTAGTTATTTTACTTTTCTGTACTTAACGACTCCACCTGAATAACATTTGAGAAAAAATCCCTGCATATTCATCAGTGAGCCTACACTAACAGAAATCTGGTGTATTTAGAGAGTCCACTTCTGCATCTAAACATGATGTTCCTGCCAAACTTGTATTCTACTTGTAAGGAAAACACTTAAGAGTGGACAAAGACCCCACACAGCCCTCCAAGACTACAGGTCTCTGCAGCATGCTTTCAGGCATTGAATTTTCATGCTCGTTTCACTTTATAAGCACTTTCACATATGAACAGAGCCTCTAGGTTTTGTGGGAAGAAGCAAATTAAAACAGAAGGGAAGAAAGAACACTATGTTGTGCAGCATACGTGGGATGGAGAAACCATACTGAACAGTAATAACAGAAATGAATGCAGACCACAGCACAGAAGGGTACATACAGACTATAATAAAAACATTGCCAGCACAGTGTAAGGGACACTACAAAGATCTGTGTTTAGCTGTGACAACTACCAGTTACTCACAGTAATCTGCAGCTCTAGAATGAGCTCTAGAAATTCTGGGGATTTCTTCTCCCCCTTCTTCCCACCCACACCTTCATACTGATACTTTCCTCCAACATCAACAGAGAAATTTTACCAATTTATTACCAGTAAGCATTTCTGTGCTCATATTTTCAATTCAAGTACACTGTCTTGAAAATATGTTGCAACACACTGTTTTCCTTCCACACTCAAGGAATTATACATAGCAGATGGAATGGGAATTTCTCAGCTCTGTTGAAGATGACATGAAATGATTAAAACTACAAAGGCATTTGGATGTTCTGAGACAGTATCGCAATGTGTTAATTTTTATAAACATTCATCCCTCTTATCAGAGTATTAACTAGTCATTAATGCCTTAAACCTAAAAAACACTTACGCACTTTACCGTAGCTGATCCTTCCATTATTACTCACACCTGTAAAATTACAAAAAAATTATGCAAGTGTTCATGAGACTGGATCCTATGATCACATCACTGTGCTAAAAGAGACCAAATGGAGATAAGTATTATTTTACAAATTCATGTAGCCATTTCTATCAGAACTTCATCTTTTTTGGTTTAGTATGTACATGTGTATTTATCTGTACCAAAAACCCCGACAAAATAGAATGCTTTCCAAATTACTTATAAATTAATGCAAGAGCTGTGGATGTATTTTGGAAGGCGTCTTGCAATTATTCTTAAAAGCATGCTTGGAGTTTGTGATAATGCATTTCATAATATTAGACAATACAGCCACATTTTTTGCTTTCATTAGCGATCATATGCTTTTGAAGTATTTGCATAAATTTTACACTTAATTAGGCTTTAAATATGCATGATTTGGATGTTACTCCCAGCCAAATTTCATTAGTATGTCATTGCCAAAGAAAAATTTCAGGGGCAAATTTAGTTGTCAACTGCTAAAAATTACCATTTAATACTTTTAATATTAATCTAAATTCATATATTAAGGTAAAATCTAGAATTAAAGAAGCAAGCCAGCACATTGTTAGTATGAAAAATTAAAAATATACAACAAATCCACCTAATTAGTTTTATATGTTGAAATATCATAGACCATGAAACGCTTTTGTCCCTAGATAAAAGACTAGCCCGAAGTACACTTCATACAGTTCATAAGGCTTCAGATACATTATTAGGTATTTCACTGGTCCCTCAATTTTTATGGTTTATGACCTGATTTGGCAGTGCTTCCTCATCCAGAAGCCAATTATGATGAACATAATTTGTAAGAAAGATTTAAGTATATATAGGTTTCTGGTCATTAAATAATTTGATGATGTTCCAAAAAACCCAAACCCAATGGTTATTCTATATTCAGTGCAACAGCTCTGTGCTACTGCATTGAACAATATGGGTTGATCCCTGCTAATCCCATTTTGCTGCCCATGGATGAGTGATGCATACTGAGATTGTACTGACATCAAACGATGAAGGAGGCCGTGTATTAAATGAGACTGAATACAAAAGGGTAGCTGATTCAGTGGTACCAATGCACTGCAAAGAAATCAAAAGTTATAGATCTATTTTTATGTCTGTGAGCTACAAATGGGACAATTTGTTCTACATTAGGAGCACTGTTCTTTGAATCTTGAAACAACCCACTCAAAGCTGGAGCTAATGACAAGGTGGGCCTCTGGATGGGAGCTGCAGTTAACTTGAAATCACAGGCAATTGTTGTGGGAGAAGATACATTTAGCAGGGGGCTGAACAACACAGGTTATTGCAAAAAGATGACCATAAGGAAAGGTCCCTAGTATTATGCACAAGTGATTTACATATGGAATGGCAGTGCTGAACTGCAACTTCTAATAAAGACTTTTACAGGAGATATTATATACATATATATTCATATATATATATATATGAAACTATTTCACAGGATATAAATAATATGGAGATAAACCTGGATTCTAGGTCAGCACAGATGTGTTTTTCTATGGACACAGTCTCTACAATCTCTATAACCCAGTAACACAGCTGTTTCCCAGGAAGGAAAAATAAATAGCATAAATTATAACCCTCAGTGAACACAGCCATCAGCATGGAATGACAGGAGAGAAGATGTGCAATTTGCTAGAAAGAAAAAATTAAAACAAAAGAATTGGACAATAACAATGGAATTAAATTCTGCTGTTAAAGCCTTCAGCATTCAAGATCTAGTCTTGCCTTCTGACCTGAAATGCACAGCTTCAGTGCCCTTCAACTCTTACTTCTCAAGTTCATAATGTAATGCTTGAAAATAAAGCACACATGAGGAACCACTTTCTGAAGATTATTTGTATCCCTGACTTTGATTCTCTGAGATTAATATATTGGCATGGCTTTGATTTACTAGACAGTGCTTTTAAACTTTCTTTAGGAACAGATTCAAAGCCTGTTAACTGGGCACATTTCTTTCTCTGTTCCACAGGGTAAAGGAGCCATTTATTCTTTAAAGCAGAACTATGGAGATGGTTACTCCTGCCTCTTGAGATCACCACCATCGCAGTAAAGGATGCACTTTCAAGATCTTAATGCAGCTATCTTTATAAAATATTCTTCAAGAGACTACATCCTCTCATGTGTCTCAGCTGGATATTTACAGTTAGTGGAGGCTTTTTAGCACTGTGATTTTTTAAGATGCCAAGGAAAACCTTTTTCATTTAAGCACTCCTATGTAAGCAAATTTTTTTAAATGCCCACTGAAGGATTTTTTCCAGGTCATGTTCTTTGCCAAACTGGTCTTTCACCAAAAGAGAAAAATAACTTCTTGTCTGTTTTTCCAACAATTGTTGTTGCCCAAAGCCCAATCCCTGCAGTCTGTCTGAAAAATACTCTTTCCAAAATATCTTCATCTGTGGAAAAGGTAGAGCATCCTTTAGAAAAGCAAGACTAGCTAGAGCAGCAAGCATTTTCCAGCCCTACTTTTGAAGAAAAGTAAGGCCAGAAAGGAAAAGCAAAGGAAAACAAAAATCCACAATGCAGCACCCTGTTCACCTCTGCAAGATCAAAGATAGCCCAAGTACTAATAACTGCATTCTGGAAGAATCTGAAAAAGGTAGCAGGTATCAGTAAAACTTTTTTTAATAACATGAAATGATGAGTTGAAGATTAGGCACAGGAAAGTACGGGTTACACTCTTTGTCTTCTTCCAAGAAGACCGACAACACCTTGAGTGTATCCAAGAAGACTGGATTAAGGCATCAACTACATTCTTCATGTATTACCATAGCATATATTATTATCACAGTTTTAATATGTAAGGTTCCTTTTGGCCAATGAATTACCATGAAAAGCAAAATAAAAAGAGCACTAAAAACTAGGTAAGTAATTTGCAATTAGAAACATTTTCTTGAATTGTATTTTTTACTTATTTTAACATGAAATATCTACTGACAAGTTAAGCTCGTCACAGTTTGGCAACAAGCATACACACATCTAAGTATTACTGTTTGGGATTATTCTCAGATAATACTACAAGCTGCAAATGGTTTTATAGATGGTTTAAGATGGCATAAGCTCATGCTTCTGTAAAGAAGTTATTGTGTTCTCTGTCCCTTGAGCTGACACCCAGGGCATGGTCCAGTTTAACGTAAAATGTTTTTATTCTTCCTGGATTCAGTTTTCAATGAATCAATTCAGCAACCCAGTTCAGTACACTCATTTATGCTGCTAACAGCTTTTTTATGTTCATCTTTCAGCATGAAAGTAACAATCTTTGCACTTGTTTACATAATGAAATCAATCTTGCAGAAGTATATACAGGTCTGAAAAAATACGCATCAGTAACAAAGGCAAATACAAGTGAAATCATGTGGGACAGCTCAATGTCTCAGAAAGGACTAAATAGGTATCAGTGCAAAAATACTGCAATTGTTGCTCCGGAGTAGACCTGTTGCATCCACATATAGAAAGTTGTAATAAACCTTGTCTCCCAAAATACTGGGGATGGCTCGTAGTAAAAACAGGACAACAGCAATGAGTATACCAGGGATTAAATGTGAAAATGAAAAACATTATTAGCTTTGTTTTGCCAAAGGTAAACTCCGCTTCCAAAATCTTGGTATGCAACGGATTTGAATGGAATTTTAAAAATCTGCAGGGCAAATTCCATTGTCTGTACCTCTACTCGAATTTCCTGGCTCTTTCAGTTTTCAGTGGGAAAATTCAGAATCCTTTATTGTTGTGAAGTGGGAGAAAAATAAAATTCAGATCTCTTGATAAATGAAAAAATCTTAGGTATCAGCAAAGCAAAAAATAACACTTATCAGCATTGAAGATGAAATATGACTTAAAAGCTGCAGCCCAGGAAACGAACAAGCAACAAAACCTCTTCCAGTCATTACTGCTGCAGATTGCATCCAAAAGCGGCATCATCACTAATGTGGACTTCACAGCAGCCGGCACATTTATGGGATCAGCCAAAGACTTATGTAAGAATACAGAGACAAGCTGGTTATCCTGAATGTTTCTAGCCACCTTCATATTGGTCAAGAGAATTACTACTGAGAGACATGAAGAGATTACAGAATTTAGATACTGAGAGACATGAAGAGATTACAGAATTTAGACTACTGTACTGCATCACCAATGGAAGGTAAACAGTTTTATATGGAATGCTTAAGCAATTAGTCAATCATATTACTAAATAATGATGTTGAGAACAGACTGAATTTGAAGCCATATGAAGCTGATGTGAGACCTGCTAAATCCATACAATGGGTTTATATACTGCAAGAACATCTTTAAGCCTTGCTGCACACAACATAAAAAGATAAATTTAGGTAGCTTTTCATAAATTGCTGTATAACAGTTTAATACCAAATCAAACCAAATCAACATGTAATAACATATAAACCTGCTGAAAGAACTAGGGTAGCGGAATGTAAGATAAATAATAAAAAAAAACAAAACAAAACGGTTAGTAATAAAGTCCCTGCAACTGTAAAAACTGAAATAAACCCCTGCAATTCTCAATTGAATAGGGCCTAACAAAATTCTTACATTTTCTACAAAGTGAAAGATATGCTTACCGTTATCTTTGCTGCTGTTTTCTTCAATTGTCATTTGTTCTGCTAGCTCAGACAGCGATTCATCAATGGTCTGGCTTCCTCGCAAGGTTAAGGAAAGTCTTCTCTTAAATTTTTTCATTCTATCGATATTGGGTCTGGCTTGAGGAAGCCTGAAAAAAAAAATGAACAACATAATGTGTGAAAAAATTATTTATTTAGAAAAGGAAGTTTAATTGACTGACATAAAAATGCCAGAAGGCTTACAGAAAACTTGCACAATATGCAAGTTATACTTAAAAAAAATACCCTTAAACAAGATCACTGGACTGTATAAGAATGTTTTGAGAGGCTGATGCCCATACACTTTCGCAATTTTTACTGCCATTTGGAAAAAAAAGAACCTTTGGGTTTGTTGGGCTTTTTTGGGTTGTTTTTTTTTTTTTAGAAAAACAGCTAACTTAGTCATAACTTTTACACTTCAATAATAAAGGAAACAGTCATCTGAAAACCTGCTGAGTGTGTGCTCTGTGGCCTCCTCCAGTCTCTTTTACTAATCCCAATAAGCAGAAGACTGTAGCCTTTTCTCTTTTTCAGCCCATTTTATATGATGAAAACTTACCAAACTTTTCTATATTTTACCCTTTTCACAAACAAAAGAAGAGGACAATGCTTGAAGTTTTAAACACAAAAGGAGTTCTCAAACACCATCCCATCTAGGGAACTAGGACAGCCAGAGTCTGGTAACAATGGCTAGAATGGATGTTTCTCTTAAGAGTCAAGCAACAGAATGGAACTGGGAACAAAGCAGCAGGCACTTTCTCCCTGGAAAGTTGTAAACAAACAAACAATAATAACAAAGGTCCAGGTCAATAAACTTGCTGCCACAAGTCTGAGCTGGTAAGAGAACTTTGTGGTGTGCCATATGTGTGCCCTTGCACAACAAGAGACACAGTTCTGTCTTTCCTCACTCCATATCGACAGTTTACCCTTCATGTTATTTCTCAGTAATTTGTTCATCTGGTCATAGCCTCCAAGAATCACACATGCAGTGTTCAACACAAGTGCAGCATACTGAAGTCTGAAATGCTCATATATATTTTCCCCCATCAGTTTATTTTCCCCCTATTTTGCCTTCCAAAATTCATCATTCACATACAAAACCAGATTTTCCTCTATGTTCTCATTTCAACAGAGAAATGCAAGAAGTAGTATGCCAAAGATCCACACTTAATAAGAAATTGTGAAAACAATTACTTTTGTATTGACAGCATCCCTTTAAGTATACACATTTCAACTGTGGAACTTACTCTTTTTTCAGCTGCTTCATAATAAAAAGGAGAACAAATTGGTAGAACAAATTTGAAAGTGGCTGCTGGTGGCAGGAGAATGCTTATATAGGCTAAACTTTCACAAGACAAGATTGTTTAGGACAGCAAGTAAAACATTAGGGATGGATAAAAGAAGACCTTAGGGATATTGGCTCCAAAGTCTGAGATGAACAGTAAAATCACTGCTGCATCCAGCAGGAAAGAGGTGGATTAAAATACAGAGTAACTAACACCTCAGACAATCACAGCTACTGTAAAGCAGAATTATTAAGGCACTGGGTACAGATACACAGGAAATAAAATACAGTGCTGTAGATACAGTTAAGCCACCGGTTTCTAAACTGCCCCTTTAATGCAATGCTGTATGTGCAATAAAGTCTTTAATACGAATAATTTTACTCTCTTTCACTCAGAAGCAGGATATTCTTATTGTTAAGAAACTGCATTCAGAGAGCATTCCAAAAGGAACATTTACGTTTCCTGTCCAGGACCAGGCTATAAAGATCTTACTTGAAACTGTTTTATTTCTGCATTCAAACTTTTATTAAAAAAAAAATTTCCCTTGTTTCTCTAAAAGGACAATTTTGTAAAACATTTGGAAGGACACCTCATCTATGTGTAGTTTTACTCAATTCTTCCATTATGTTTTTCTAAAACCTGCATTTTCCTCCATGTATTATTCTCAAAAAAAGGATACATGCACTTTTTAGCTATATAATGCCCTAAAGCTACCTGACAGCACAACAATTTCTTTCCAATTTTCCACTTGGGCAGTAACTGAAAAAGCAGGTGCCTTTAAAGGGAAACAGGCCATTCCTGGCTTTTGATCCTGGCAAGTGCTTAAGCCTACACAAATTTTTAATAAAAAGGTCTACTGCTGAAGAATATTACATATAAATTAACAGATATATGGATTAGAAATTCCAGGAAACATTCTAAATCTCAAGCTAATAAAAAAACCCCAAAGTATTTTGTCAACTATAATTACAACATTTTTCCTGTTATGGGATGGTTTCATGGAGTAATGAAGTACCATTTTTACTAACATTCAGATTTAATTCACAGCTTGGTTTTTAAATAATTTAACAGTAAAAAGGAATGAGGAGTGAGAATCCACATGTTTTCTTCTATTGAAATGTATGTCAGCTTTTTAAAGGAAAAGATGCTCACCAATATGAAACCTATTTTTTTCCCTTAAGGTGTCAGTATTCTTGCTAGTTCACAATTGTAAAGGAGCGGGGGAAAAAGGGAAGAATTGACTAGTATCTAGTACTTAGAAATGTCCTCTTTTTGATTTCTTTACTCTCATGGCCAAAGTTGCAGAACCTACTCAATCTTGGAAGTTTAAGACAAGACATCAGTGAACAGAGCTTTGAAAATATCATCTGTACAATCCAAAACTAACACTGGTTCTCTAAAACAACAGCACTTTCCAGAAAACTCCAAATTGTCTGATACTCATTTTCACCAGTTAACAGCAGATGCATACCTATTATCTCCCTTTAACAGCAAATCTAATTTAAATCCAAAATGGAGTTACTTGATTAGCAATATACATGTAGAAGCAATGCTTCCCCAAATTCTTAATGACTGTGAAAAGAATACAGTTATTTCTATATTTAGTTTTAGAACAGAGCCCACAGGCTTGACATATTCTGTTCTGCAAATTTCTCTATTCTAAGTCATACCCAAATCAAGTATTTCAGATGTCACAGTAGATAGAGCTGCATACGCTTGAATGCAACTAATGCAAATTCTAGTCTTCTGCAGACAGAATGAGGACAAGCAATCTGATATGCCACTATCTGATACAACCTACAAAAGCTGGCAGAGACATATTTGTTCAATCCTTATACTAATATCAAAAAAAAGCAAGCAACACGGTATTAAGGGAACTGCTGCTTCTTACAGTCTGCAGGCCAACCCTGAAAAACTGGTCTGTTTGTCCTTAAAAGTAATGCAAGTTAAGCCTTGAAAACAATGCTAAAATTTACCTTTTCTGTTTTCCAACATTCACTGTCATTAACTCAGTCCACTACTCTAGTCTTAAAACCCCTGTCCTGAACCCAACGTCTTTTAAAAGTGATCTTCGTAATACAGTTCTCAAAACAAACTCCATTTTTTACACTGATCCAGGTAAGATTAGATTTAAACAGGTGTGTTTTGGTTCACTTTCTCTGAATCACACCAATCACACCATGATGCCTGAAGGACAGCACTTCTCATTTAGCACATCTGTATGTTCACTACACTAAGACTGTACAGCAGGCAGACATGAAAGCACTTGGATTTCAAATAACTCAGCTAGATTTTGCACTTATGTATTCACCAAAATTCAAAGGTCTTACACTGCCAGTGGCTAACATTCTCAAAAGCCCTTCCACTTCCTTCAGTTTCCCAGATTCTTTGTTTCTTGGAAGTTAAAAAAGTAAGGCATTAAGACCTTTGTACACAACTACTAATATGTGTTTAATCCTTGCAAGTTTAAACAAATTCAGTTAAATTTTTCAAAACCAATAAAACTATTTAACAACTTAAATTTTAGTCAGTTTATTTCATGAGGGTCACGAATACCAAAAGATCACTAAGATTTTGCTGATTCAAAGTCCTTTGAAGTCAAAGTGAACCTGTCCTTCAACTTCAATTAGCTTTGGATCAGTCTAAGTGGAGACTCTTAAGTTATATTGCATCGAGGTCCATCTACATAGAGATTAAGCATTTTAAAATTACTTTTCCACTTAGATAGACAGTGAAGCTGCAACAAGACTGTTTTTACAGGTTGCTTTACAAGGCAGTAGGTATTTTCCAAACATCTAAAGGCAGTTCTTGTTCTGGAAAACTCACCTGTAAGACAACAGCTGAAGTGGAAGGAAAGGAGAGGATCAGAAACCCTACCTAACAGCAGGAACAACAGCATGGCCCTTAAAGACGGGTTAACAAACTAAGGTACAAGACTTGTGCCCAGGAATAAGACATCAAAGAAAACAGGTAACAGCACTCTGTATGAACTCCTTGTGACAGAAAGAGAGGCCTGAAAAACTCAAGAGTGCTGCAAATGGTATTAATTACAAACTGAAATAGGAAACGCCTGTCAAGGATATTGTCCACTTATTTAAAAAAAAAAATAAAAAATCAGCTTTCCACTATGTTAAACTGTTCTCAATCTACCTGAATTTAAAAAAATAAACACAATCACTGTCATTAGCAGGGTGCACATCAAATACAGAGCAAACTATTAATTATACTAATGAGAAATATATGGGTAATTTATCCAGGATAACAACCAACCAGTTTGAACACTCATAAAATTCACATATAGTACAGATATACCTCCTTACAATCACAGTTCTGCTCTGCAAGAATGGATTACAAACACGGAATTTCAGTCACTGCATTTATTCTTTGTATTTGTCTCAACTCACATTTGTTCACATCAGTGAAAAAAAATTTCTACTGCATTTTTCCTTGGCCTTTGGAAGCAACATGAGACTGGTCAACTAGACTCTTGTCAGGAGCACTGCTTAAAAAGTTACTAGCTTTATGCTGCATTGGGTCAAAGAACTGACATTGTACAGATACAAGCGATACCTGACAAATAAGGTCTTTGTTACTGATGAAAGAAAACTGTCAAGTCAAATACCTCAGCTTAGTCTGATCTCACCAGTGCAAAAAGGGCAAAAGGACTCTCGCAGCTTTTTCCTTTAGGAACAATATTCAATATAAAATTAAACTTTCCCAGTGAAGCCCTTTTTAATGTACTTATAGAATCACAGCTAAACAATTACTCAAAATTGGAGGTACAAAGGTATTTACAAAGGTTAGCTTCTTATCTGAGGATAGTT